AATGGAATACGAAAGGTGGATTCTTGATTCTCGACGTCGGAGTACACAGAGTGAAGCGAAAAGACTACAACTGTGTAAACAGGCCCCATTTCCGTTTCCGGTGGCAGGGGAATATTGACTATTCCAACAGAACTCAATGGGATTAACAAAATGCTAAATAAAACACTACAGGAACGGTTTTTCTTTACGAAACTTTTTTTGGAACGTCATTGAACAGCGCTGACGACACGGTGAGTAGCATATTTTAAAAAAAGAAAGTTTAAGGTTGTTTTAAGGACATTATCGGACATGCTCTATGGAAGCCATTCTAAAGCAGCCAGGGGTGGATTCTAAATGAGCCAAAAAGCAGAGACAGGACCAATTGTCAAAATTTTGGTGTCGATCATTCGATTTCATCCTGGACACTACAGAAAATGGGCTTAAAGTGTTAAAAAGTGAACTTCTCCTTTAAATTTACCTGAATAAATAAGGAACAAAATTACCTTTTTGTTATAGCTGTACCTTACTGTTCTTTTCTACTTTTACTTAAGGGGGTGATAGAATGATTCTATAGGGTATTTGGTCCTTAAGGTCTATGAATCGGGTGTGTAACATTGGTCGGGCTGAAAATGGCATATTGGCTGTTCTATGAGCCCTAATGCAGCCTGGTTAAGAGTATCAGAATGACACAACAGGTTTTCTTCCTTTTATGGTATGTTCATGAATATTTAGATGAGCTGTGCTCTGATTGGTTGGTTTACAGCGAGCAAAGCTGCTGAGCAAAAACGCATCATAGCAACAAGCACTAACTCACTAAAACATCAAATTGTTGATATGGTAGGGTGACCAGACGTCCTCTTTTTCCCGGACATGTCCTACATACCTAAAAATATTTTCAGGGGGAATTTCAAAATCATCTGGGATTTTGGTCGACTACAGTGCAGCACGTACTCGAAACAGGGAGCCAGCAGGGGACGGAGCGACCGAACCCGACCCGGTGACGGTAGCCTGGACATTGGTGACCCCCGTTGCCCACGGGCGACCCCGTGCTGCACAGTAAGGCAGGTGGGGGGAAGCATACTGTCACCGGGTCGGGTTCGGTCGCTCCGCACCCAAGGACAAAAATAATCCATGCCTGTCAAGTCTTTAGATCCTTGGGAAACTGAAAATGTTTCCCTATCTCCGTCCAGCCTGGAACTCTGCATTTACGCCTGTGGTTCTGGCTCATTTTCAATAGAGAAACTGCCTGCTTTGTAATTCTAGTAGAAGTAAACCCAACTGTTGCTAAACTGCTGTCTTCCATCTACCTCTATTCATGTTCTTGGACCAGTGAACCAGTGGATGTCAGTTTCGGGACGTGACTAAAGTACAGGCCAGAACCAAATAAAGCAACATCCCAGAGTTTACGTCAACTCGGGGCTTCGTCTGAATTCGCCCGTTTTATGGTGGAAGTTTAGAATTATCCGATTTGCAGAAAAAGAGGGTGTTGATGGGGTTTGAACTTCTCTGTACGTCCATTTCACCCACTGACCTATCGTTATTCATCTATGACAATGAAAACTCAGTTTTGCATTATTTGACCCCTTTAAGGAACATTGAGGAAATCTTTACTCTTACTTGAGTAAATTCTTATTGTTCTACCTTCATTTCTTTATCTTTTTCTGATATGTATACAGTTCCTATTGTTAGCCTTAAGTTTATGTTGAAAAAATAATGTAGAAAAGGTTTTTTACTCCCTTTTTGTAATTATGTAATTTATTTGTATTTTTATTTTATTTCTTTATATACCAGAATTTGCACATAACTCTATTAAATTTTTCATCTTAAACATTAAATAGATGTTAAGAGACAACAATTCTATATATCCCAAATCTTAATCCACTGGTTCTTTTTTCCCCTTGAAGCTGAAACATTAACCCACCTTATCTGGGAATGCAGATTAAGTAAAACGTTTTGGTGTGACTTTAGAGGCAAATTAAATATTCTACTTACACTGAATCATAAACATGAACACATACTGTGGTTTCCCTCTGAAGTAATGAGCAAAGACACATCTCTATTGGTTTGCATGGACGTTAGCATTTTATGGTCTCGGTTCTGTTGTGTTTTCAGCTTCATGTTGATTCATGTTTTTCTTTGTTTGGTAATTTTATTGGTTTAATTGCTATTTTGTTGTGTTTTTTGGATGTATTTGAGTTCTTAAGCTACTCTTTGTTGCCCTCTTGTGTTGGTTTCCTTTTCCTTAGCTCCCTTCTAGACTCCTCTGTTCACTCTCCCTGCAGTTCCTCAGTGCTGGTTCCTCCTGTGTTCACATACTAAAACTGCAAGAACTCACCTCTGCCTCTCTTCCTCTGCATTTGGGTCCTCAAACCACAACGAAAGCTGACATAGCAAAAACTTTTTGGATTTTAGAGTAGTTCACAAATTTTTTTTTATCTTTATTTAATGTCTATATACAAAACGTATCAATTGCTTACACAAATAATGGAACTAAATGAACTCGATACAGCTTTATAATGATGTAGTACTAGGGATGGGAATCGAAAACCGGTTCCTGTTCAGAACCGGTTCCGTATTTTCCGATTCCATGGCATCGTTTGGCAGCTCGCTGAACGATTCTTTTTTCGATTCCCGCAGCACCAGAGCCTAGAGCGTCGGCTCTGGGGAGCATGACTTACGTCACGTTTTTTACGTACGTTACGTAAGTTACGCAGGTTACGCAAGTTACGCAATTTGGAAATAACTATTCGAGGAGGAAGACAGCGAGCTGCGGTCACTTTTTGAATCAAAGCCCCGTCTTTCCTTAGCCCAGAGGGTAGATCAGGAAATCCAGCTCTATAAAAGCTTGCCCTCCATCCCCTGCAGGGATAGCGCCACACTGTGGTGGTGGAACAAGCAAGATACGCTGCCCTTGCTATCTGGACTGGCTGAAAACTACCTCTGTGTGCAGGCTTCCTGCACCCCATCTGAGAGGGTGTTCTCCACGGCTGGAGACACCATAAGCGCTGAAAGATCCCGTATCCTTCCAGAAAAAGCAGATATGCTCATCTTTCTGCAAAAGAACTGTTAATTTTCCCTACTAATTTTTTATAATTAGTATTTTTTGTTATTTAAAATAGGTTATTATCCCATCATTTGTTATTAGACATTGTTGGTTATTAAGTTTGTTCTTGTATTCATTTTTCATTTAAACACAGATGTTACTCCAGTTTCACATTTCCTGTGGACATCTTGATCTTGTTGAGTTTGTAAGATTGTGCAATAGTTAAGTAAACAAAGTTGATTCTGATAATCAAACTGTTTGTTCTCCTTTTTCCCCCAAATTGGAATCGAAAAAAGAATCGATAAAGAATCGAATCGTTTAATAGAATCGAAAAGGGAATCGGAATCGTGAAAATCTTTTCAATTCCCAACCCTATGTAGTACTTAATAACATATCAACCTTTTTTAGTTCTATTTTGTTTGGAATGATGTCATACATGTAAAGAGTTACCAGCATATTTGAATGAATTAAAATTGATTCAGTGAGTCAGTGTTTTAGTAAAGTAGATATTTGTGAGAGCTATCTATCCTTTGAAAGGAAACTTCCCTGCACACGAGTCTGTTTGTAAACACTATTTCACGCTGGTTGCTTAATTTGTCACAAAGGCATTCAGTTCCTTTTATCCTATAATCCCTTTGATTTTAGTGTCTAAGTGGCACCATTTAGAAGTAAATCCGCTTTGTTTCTCCACAAACACCAATAAATAAACCATTGGTTCAAGTCCACTTCTCTTTGAAAGCAACAATTACAAACGATCAGACACTCGCACACACAAACGTCAGTGAAATTCAGAGGTCCAGAGAACTCCTTTGAGTCAAAACCGTGCAGCTGCAAAATCTGTAAGTCTGCGTTTACAGAAGCTTATCACAAGGATGTGCTGCACCTCACTTTGAACATTATTGTTTATTGTTTGAGCAGACACAGTTTGATATGCAAAAGTAAGGAAAACTAAAGACTTTATGCTTTTCATGTTTTGATATTTATCTTCTTTGGGGTTCAGAAGAGCACAGATCTAAAGAAAATGAGATATATACTAATTCTAGGAGAAAAAAACAATCCTATATACTGCTTTTATCAAAAAAGACATTTTTCCTCTACTATTGCTCTCATTTTCAAGGTAAATGCTGTGTATTTTAGTTTGGCTCACTTCCAGACTACATTCATTAGGTGCGCCAGGGTGGGGTCAGTGTTGTTTTTCTTTTGTTTTAAAATGGGGGCACAGGTGAAAAAGAGCATAAAACAAAAAAACAGGGCTATCGTTTTTAACTTTATTAAATGAACCGCAGAACCAGAAGCCTTGGAGCTGAACTGAACCTTTGTTCAGCTCCAAAAACCAACTGAGACACAAAATTTCTGTCACGATTTGGTGGTGTTGGTTAGAGGACCCAAATGCAGAGATGAGTAGGTTGAGATGAATAAAGTGATTTAATAGGTAAACAGTAGTGATGGGTCGGGCAACACCGATGCGTCGGCGCATGTGTCGGTCTCATAGAGCGAAACCTGTGTCGACGTGTGTATCGCTACGGAAAAGTCACGTGACCGAAACAGTTCCTGCATCGGTCACGTGACCGATGTTTCGAACTGATTGACAAACCTTTATAAGGATGCGCATCTGCCAAAACAATCTTGCGTGTTTTGCGAATATAAAATTCATCAAAAATTATGGAGCTTCCTCAAGCAAAAAGAACGGTTTCTGCCGTGTGGGACCACTTTGATGTCATTTCGGAAAATAAGGTATTTGTTTTAATTTCCTTGTTTCATCCTGTTCCTCTCAGAGTTTCCACTTGATTTTCTGAGTAGAAATTCATTTCAAAGTGACCTTTAGTTTACTGTTCGTGTTATTTTCTGCAGGTTAAATGTCGCAATTGCTCAACAGAGCTTGCATATTTAAATAACAGCACCTCCTGAATGCTGAGGCATTATAGGGCCAAGCATGAGAGTGAAATCCATGATACACCCATGATGAACTCAGGTATACAGGTATTTTACAACTTACTGACTTTGTTTTATTGATAATTCTGAATAATTTACACTTTCTCATTTTTAACCATCAAGCTTCCAGGAAGCAGATGCTTGATGAGGCTGTGCTTAATTTCATTGTAAAGGACTGCCAGCCCCTCGCTGTTGTGGAGAATGAAGGCTTCAGGGAGCTGCTTCAGCTCCTGGAGCCCTCATATGTTTTGCCAACCAGAAAGGTTTGTGTGGAAATTATCTAAAGTGGTAGTTTATTCATCAAATTTATTTTAAATATATTGATTTTCTTCTGGTTTGACTTGGTGTGGTTTTCAGACCATCAAACAACTGTTGGCCAAAAAGTACGAGGAGGAACGGGAACGAGCGAAAATGGAAGTACAGCAGGCTGCGGACAGAATGTGCCTCAATAGTTGGAAGCTCAAATGAGCCCCGGCCGGGAACATCTTCACAACAGCTGTCTGCCCCCACTTCAGGCATGATATTGAGCATCATTTCTTTGTTGTTTGTAAATCATGTACTAAAATACTATTTTATTTTATTTTTTTTTAAGATGACCTTTGGGAACATTTTGATCTCGAAGTGGGGAGGCAGACCAAAAGTGCCACAGCTGATGCCATCCTTGAGGTGCAGAGATACATGGCAGAGGGCAATATTGCGAGGTCCCAGGATCCTCTTTTATATTGGAAAAACCAAAGGACGGTTTATCCAAACTTCTTCCGCCTGGCCTTAAAATTTTTGTGCACTCCAGCTTCATCTGTGCCGTGTGAGCGGGTGTTTTCCACAGCTGGAGAATTAATATAAAAAAAGCGTAACAGACTGAATTTCAAAACGTTGCAACAACTTATTTTTTTTAATAAAAAATTGTAAAAAAAATACCAGTGAACAAGCATCTTCATTTACTACATGTTTACTTAGAGATTATTACATTATCATGCAGGTTCTCATTATTCATTGACTGTGTCTAAAATATCAAATATGTTTTAATAATAATACAATGCATCATACAATGAATTGCATCATATTAGTGTATATAATAGGTCATCAAATCAGTGTCAGTTAACTCTGTCAACTAGGTTGCCTGTAGGGATTTTTAATGTCCAGCAGGTGTCAGTATTCAGTGACACAGTATCAACACAGTATCAATACAGTTTGGTAATGTGTCGAAACGTTTCATGACGCCTCATCAACCCATCACTAGTAAACAGGCTCTGAGGCAGGAGTCAAAAATCCAACAAAATACCTCACAAGACAGGAGTCAAAAAATCCAACAAAAATATCCTAAGAACCAGAATCTAAGAGTCATCAGGGAAAAAGCAAAAACTAAGAACCAGGAAGAGACAAGGAAGGAACGACAAAGAACTGACCAGAGGTTTGATGAGAAGTAAGACGAGGATCCAGCAAACAAGAACTGAAGAGGGAGTTTTTTTAAAGGGGACAGAGACAAGGAGAGAGCTGACGAGGAAATTGGCAACAGGTGCTGGCAGCACAGAGAAAACAGCAAGGGAGGACAGAGCAGAGAACAGAGCGAGGGATAGAGGACACAAGAGGGCAGCAGAGGACAACAAATGGAAAACCTGGAGGACAGGAACTAACAAGAAAACAACAAAATAATAATTAGACATTAAAACAGAAGCAAAGTAAGACTGAATACTCTAAATAAACATAACAAAACCAAGACTGTGACAATTTCATGTCCATGTCCTTTCTTTCAATTTAAATTTGATGTTATTTCAATTGAAGATTGATGTATTTCACTGTTAATTTCACTTAATCTAAAATTAAAATTCTTTAACCACAGAAGGATAAAACTAATTAAATAATTAACTGTAAAGTCCATAGTGATGGTGTTGACCACACTGTCAATAAATAAAGTTTGACCAAAGTAATATCTTAAAAGAGAACACCAAAGTAATATGTTCACGGTCTTTGAAATGAAGATTAAAGTTAAAGAAGGTTACTATTTTTTAATGTACATTTAATGATATTTAATGATATTTTTGACTTATCTGAAATAAAAATTCTCAGACAGCAATTCTGAACTTTAGTCAAAAAAATGGCAAAGCTATAGTTAAATCAGAACATTAAAGGTAAAAAGTGAGACTGATAAAGTTGTTTCTGGGGATCTGCTTCCACAATGAGTGCAATTTAGCATTTTCAACACCCACTATCAGAATATTATCAGAATCAGCTTTATTTGCAAAAATATTGTGCATAAACAAAGAATAAAAATAGGTATTAAAATCTGAGAGCACACTTTGAGTATAAAAATATAGACTTTAAAGGATACAAAGATAGTGAGATAAAGGCACAGTATGTACTAAATGTACAACACATTTATTGTGTAAAAGAAAAGAAAAATACAGGTATGTAGAGGTGGAACTATATATATATATATATATATATAATATATATTTTTTTTTTTTTTTTTTAACAGTGGAGTGAGTAGCTGACCCATTATACAGACAACCTAGGGGGGTAGAACTGTCCCTCTCTTGGTTGTATCTGTGTAAGCAGCATTCTGTAGGGCTGACCTTGGGAAAAAGTCTAAACAAGTTTTGTCATGAATGTGTCTCTACGTATTTTAGCTGCCCATTTTTAGCTTTAGATCTGCTCAAGTCCTGGGTGTCAGGTAGGGCAACCATTCTTTTCTTCTTTCTGGAAAGCTAATTGTACATTTTAGGTTTAAGTTCACCTGTTAGGTGGATGAGCCGAACCACACAGTGAAGGAAAAGCATAGGAAACAGTGCAGAAGATGATTAGTAGCTCTGGTGGATTGATGTAAATCTCGAGTTGCTACAAGAGTTATATGGGTCTTTAAGGTCAGAGGGAAAAGGCCATGTCAGGTTATTGAGAAGGGTGGTAACAGAGAACTGAAATTGAATCCACAGTTGACACTGTTTTACAAAAGGATGAGGTGATGCACTTTAGGAGTTTCAGAGACAGGTCCATCAAGGTGCAGTCATTCGTGTACATAGCGGCTTCTGAAGGTTAGTCGAAAGGTGGTCAGAAGGTCAAAGGTCACTCTTCTGCTTCTTGCTAAGCAGAACTGGCAAGAAAAACAACAACAATGGTGGCTGCTAATGCGGAGACTAGTATTTATGTTTAACCATCTTGCAAAGATTGAGTTTTTATGTTTGGGAAAGATCACTAGTTGTTCTACGACACTACCATCCGTCTTTACTTCCGTAAACACAGAGCACGCTTGCTTGTGACGTCACTGCGTCCTCTACTGCGCATGCAGGACACTAGGTTGTATGAATGCAGTTCATACCGGAGATCACATACAAGTGACATATATTTGGAGATGTTAACAGCAACGCAAAAATAAATGTAGCTTGACAAAAAGAGTGGAATTTAGCATCAAGGCCTGCAGTGTGAATGTAGCCAAAGTTAACAAATCAGCATAAATTTGCTGCATAAAAAATGACCAATGAACAACAGAGGTCTTAATGACTGTGTTCCAATTTGGCAAGTTTTACTTACTTTTAGGGCTGCAACAACGAATCGATAAAATCGATAAAAATCGACTTTTAAAAGCGTTGGCAACGAATTTCATCATCGATTAGTTGTGTCGCGCGATTATTGCGTCATCCGCCGCGCCGTCATCACTGCCTCTTGACTGAAAGAAGAAGAAAAAAAACATGGCAGAGCGAGTCAGCGCCGCAGGTGCAGTGTTGCCAACTCAGCGACTTTTCAGACCCCTCCAGCGACTATTTTTCAAAAAGGCGACTAGCGACAAATCTGGCGACTTTTTTCGGTGTCACTGGCGGCTTTTGGAGACTCTTAGTGAAAGCATGTATCATTCCTACTCTGCCGTGGGGCGCCTCCCCCACCCCAACCGCGTTTTCCCACAGGAGTCCCTCTCAGCGCTGCAGTCAGAGCCTCAGCGTCCAGACTGCAAACGAAGCGCGCATGCACCGGGATTGACGGCGCAAATTGATCACAATAATTAAAATAGCCTGCGCTTTGTAAAGCGAAAAAAGTGATAACATGCAACTTTTTTCAAAAGAAATTAACATGGCACGGAACCACCATGTGTGTTTGGTTTTAAAGTGGGGAAACGTAACGTTAGTTTCTCAGGTAGCTCATCTGATGCTTTCCTTACCGTGTTAGTAGGTTACAGACAGTGATAAGGTTGGCTACTTATTTTACTTTTAATTTCATTTGAATTAGCTTAAGCAGCGTTTATATTTTCTTTATAAATAAATTAACTTGCAAATTATGAGGGCAAGGCTTTTAAAGTTTAAATCTTCTGGCAAAGATAAAGTAAAGAAGATCCTGCAATTTATGGAAGAAAGCAGAATAAAATCCAGCAAGATCAGTAATATGTCAATTAATTATCTGCCACATTCCCATGTAAATATCTGTCTTTGGAGGATGTGTTTTTTAGCACCCCTAGTTCTCTCATTTTTATTCCAAATACAATTTATAATTTGAATCACAGGGCTATTTTTATCTCTATGGTTCAGTATTTTCTCAAATAGCAACTTTAACTGCTATACTTTCCTGTCTTAAAAGGCAGAACTCTTCTAGTCTAAAAAAACTCATTTGTTGAGTTGGGGGCCTATTGTTTGAACCCCTTAGGGGCTTTTAAAAACAAAAATGTATTTTTTTGCGCTTTATGAAACAAAGTAGCCTATATTTTGTGGATGTACAGCTACATTTCTCATGTAAGTTTGCGTAGTTTTAACACAAACATTTATTTTTCATATTGCACCAGTACAGTTAATGAGCAACCTGTACTTGTGTGCTTGTTTGTTCTGTCTAAAATGTTTATTTTGGAATAAAGAGGTTAATATAAAAAATATTTTTTGTCCGATTCATCGATTAATCGAAAAAATAATCGTCCGATTCATCGATTTTTAAAATAATCGTTAGTTGCAGCCCTACTTACTTTATCATGTCAGCTAGTATTAGCAACGGTTAATGCCATCCACGGACACCAAGAAAGAAGATTCTGATCAGTCATGCAAAGTAAATATTTGCTACTTCAGATCTTATTATACAAAATCTTGTTTCCACTCTTTTTAAGCAGATTTATACTTTTTCAAAAAAAAAACTCCAAAACTACCTAAAAAAAAGCATTTATGTTTTATTTTCAAAGAAATTACTTGCTTTTAGTCATGTATTATTTACTATCAGGCTCTAATAGGAATCTTCAAAATGATAAAAAAAAAATAAAAAATAAATAAATAATAATAATAATAATAATAAACAAATTAATTAATAAATAAATATTATAGTGGATGAAAACACCTGTCCTGTTTGAGTTTGATAAGAAATAGAACTTTCTTTTCATTGATGTTCTGCTATGAAGCTCTGGGAAGCATTCACCAGAACTTAGTTTCTGTAGAGGAAACAGTGTTGCAGGAGTTTGCCATGCAAACAGTGGGCTGTTGGTTCAAGTCCCCGCTCCTGCTTTCAGTGTTGTGTGCTTGGGCAAGACACTTCACTTGCATTGCCTACCTCTGGTGGTCAAGGCGCCAGTGTACGGCAGCCATGCTTGTCTGAGTGAGACAGGCTCTACTGAGTACTTGCCTAAATTTTTTTTCTAATATTTCTGCACGACTGTCAGCAGTTGCTGACAAAAACATCCAGAAACTTTGCTTATGTTTAGATTTGTTGCTAAAGGGTCCTACAATTGTGGTTAGGCTGTAAGCACTATTAGAATGGATGCTTGGTCTATGTTAACAGTTTTTCGAAAAGAATCCGTATATGCTGAAGGAACTGAAATGTTATAAGACTTCTAATTATTTTTATTCTGTACACGCACATACTGTGAGTGAGTAAGACTCTGCCCTCATTGTTTTTCAC